GATTTCTAGGAAAGCTATTGATAATTTCTCTTCCTTCTCACTTCCCAGGGAGGAATGAAATATTGGCCAGCCTGTGTCCTCAAGTGTTTGGGATGTATCTCGTAAAGCTTGCTGTGGCCATGGTGCTGGCTGGTGGGATTCAAAGAACTGATGCTGCAGGAACAAGAGTCAGAGGTCAGGACCTACTGGCACATTTTTAGAAATACTAACACAGAGGGGAACAAAAGCTACTTTTTGAGGGGAAGGGGGTGGTGAATGAAGCATATGTTTGAAAATGACAAAATGAAGTACATTACTGTGTATGCCAACTTAAAGAATTTGTAAAACTGCCTGTAGTTTCTCATCGCTGGATTTTTCCTATAGCATATATCCATATTTAGCAGAAGCTTCCTTCTATAATTCCAGAAAGATGAAAGAAATCACTAAATTTTTCAGTGACTATATACTACAAGCCTGTAAAGGTACCACAAAAATGGCTCCCTATCTCAAAAAAAAAAAAAAGTGAGAGAGATTAGAAATGGTGTCTTTAAAGTCTCCCAGTTGGTCTCCATCTGTGACTGCCAGTTGCTGCTCACACTGCCTGCTGGTGCTCCTGCTGGTGCTCCTGCTGGGAGGCAGCAGTTAAGTCATCTGCCAGGAGTTGCTGCTGTAGGTCACATTCGCAAAGACTATTCCAAGTGTACGGCACTGGAAACAGAAAGCTGCGCAGCAAGCATGGCACACACAGGTCTGCTAACCAGAGTTAACCCAAAGACAAAAAAACCTCTAAGCCAGATTTTTAGCAATACTCTGAGACCCTATAGTACAGCAGCAAATAAACATGTTAGAAATTGTGTATTTGATCACCGGTTATCTGCAAGGCACTTTGCTAAATGTTGAGCTTAAATAATGGTTTCTTATTAATATAATTAGAAAATACTTATTACTAAAGAAATTCATTTGTCCAATAAAAGTATCTACCATAGGACAAGCATGTCCATTTGTGTTAAATGTGAAAATTGAGTACTTAATCATTTTAAGGTAGACTTCACTAAGCTATGAAAATTTACATAAATGAAAGTGCATAATGATTTGACATACATAATGATTTTACAAAATCCCCAACATTTAGAAGTACTTTTAAACATAGAAAACCTTGTATGGCTTATATGGATAGCTTCAATCACAGTAGTTTAGATTTAAAAATAGATAAAAATCAGAAAGTTGTTTTAAGTCAAGGATTTTAAAAATGTTAAGAATGGGCCTAAGCATCTGGAAATAGCACACACTCTACTAAGTTTTCTGTGTCACATTCAGTAATTGCTGTGTTTGTGACAGCTAACTTTTCTAAGGATCTTCTCATTAACTGCTTCCTGAAGAGCCTTGCATTAAATTTATCAAAATGCCATATAAAATGTTGACATTTCTTTTTCTTTTTTTTTTTAGCTATATGGTATTCATATATCTTTTAAAAATTTTGAACCTTTACACCTTTATTTTTTTTTCTAGGTGAATCTCATCTTTTATTGGTTGGGGATCCTGGCACAGGTAAATCGCAATTCCTCAAATATGCAGCCAAGATTACACCAAGGTCCGTACTGACTACAGGAATTGGATCTACCAGTGCAGGTACTGGATGTGACAATTTTAAGTAAATTAAATTAACATTAATTCAGAAACTAACAGTTATCTTCTTCTGAAAAAGTACCTATTGTAGAATTCAAGAAGTTATTTAAGTTACTGCCAAAAATTGAAGGAAATATAACATCCGTTTTGTACTATTAAGGAAGTGTTTTAAAAAAGGTTCGTGTTTCCTGTTTAGAACTTAGTTTTATGTACGAAAATGTAAAGATGTCATTTTATAAAGATCTACCAAGCAAAACATCAAATAGGGAAATTCATTTTACAAAGTCGATAGCATATAGCTTAAGGCATTTTCATGGCCAACAGTGGCTCCTAATGACACCTTTTTGAGAGATGTTTATTTAGAAAACATGTTCACATATGTACTAAGAGATTCTGTTCATACACTGTAATAATACTTCAGCAAGTATATTTAAAAACTTTTACAGATAGACTATCCATATATGGTTATAAAGTGACAGGAAATTTAGGAGAAATTATTTTTAAAATGTGTCTTGATGTTTTCTATTTTAATGGTTTGGATTATGTTCTTGTAAAAATGGGACTTTGGTCTCACAGGGTGCTGTTACATGTTAAGATAGCCTCATTTCTGTAGTCTCTACTCAGAGTTCCTATGAGATGCTTATAAAGGTCATCATAAGAGCAATGTCCCAGGAGTTCCATCTACGGACTTTAGTACTGTACTAGTCACTGCTGATAAGATGGGATCTGTGAGCTGAGAACACCAGAAAAGGAGGCTGGCTACAATGAGCACTGCTTGTACGTTTTGAAATCCTTATGGTCCATCTTAAAATCAACAAGACACTGTGAGTAATTACATGAAATGATTCCTAAGCAGTTATGAGGAATGTCAAGAAATAAGCCCATGCTATCTTGCAGGCAACTAATAATGTCAGACTATTAATATCGAGGAAATATTATAGTAAATGGCTATGCTTCAAAGTGTCAATTATAATGTAAAGTGAATTAGCATTTTTTCCGCATTTCAAATGTCAAGATCAGAATCCAAATGTGAGAAAAAAGATTAGTAAAGATTTTACAATTGTAGAAACTTATTGCTACTTTCTACCCACTCCAAACATGCCACGGCCTTTTGTCATTCTTTTGAAGTTCATTTAGAGTCAGGCTGCACATAGTTTAAGGTGTAGCAAAGGGGCCACGTTCATGAAAAAAATTTTAATATAAACATGTAGTTGTGTTGCAGGTGATAATACGGTATCACTATGGTTTGTGATAGAAAACCACACCATAGTCTTTCTTTTCTTTAAATTTTATATTACTTTTCATTTCTTTTGTGTGTGCATATATGAAGTTAGAGGACTACTTCTGGGTATTGGTTTTCTCCTTTGATCATGTTAATCCTGGGTATTAAATTCATATAGTCAGGCTTGGCAGCAAGCACCTTTACCTGCTGAGCCATATTGACAGTCCCTCAAAGACTTTCTTAGTAAAACTAGACCCTAAAACTATAGGGCAAAATAGTAGAAAGTTAAGGGTCAGACAAGGTTATGAATGAGCAAATGCATGCATGCATACATACTTCCTCAGTTTCTGGAGTGCTTCCTTAACTCAAGGAAATGATACCTTCATAATCTACTCACCTAGCTCTTCAGTGGTATAAATGGGCAGAGGGGTGTGTGTGTGTGTGTGTGTGTGTGTGTGTGTGTGTGTGTGTGTGTG